AAAATGATATTGAACAAGAAAATGATGATGATGATGAAGATGATGAAGATGGTATTGTTAATGATGATTCTGATGTTGTACCTATAAAATTTGAAGCACCAAGCAAACAACGTCAGAGTAAAAAACGGCAAGCATCAAGTGGTTCTATTGAATATGTTCAAACATTGAATAATGATCAACAATCAACATTATCATTGAATAATATTGAAAATATAAAATCGAAAACGAAAATAAATGATGAAGAAATTATTATATGTCGTTCACCGCCATCTGTTCGAAGAGTAATTTCTTCTTCAAATAAAAATCATTCGAAAACAACTGTTAGTAGAAATGGTACAAGAAAATCAAATGTTCAACAGGTAATATTCGTAGGATATCTGGTTTTTTTTCTTATTATGAAAATTAATTCTTAACAATAGTTTATTATATTTATTCCCAAAAGATTTAGGTTGCCATTCAAGTATTGTTGTATGTGCTTATAATTATTTTTGATAGGACTACTATTTGTTAGTCAACTGAATTTTGTATAGGCTAAGTCTAACAAAAGAAAATAATAAAATATAAGGAGAAAAAGTTTAAGATTCATTTGATCTGTTATTTCTAAGTGATATTTGATAATAAAGCAATGTTTTGAGAGAAAAATATTTTTGTATCAATTATATTTTGTTGACACTTTAATAATGATGTTTGTGTGTTTACATATAATTGCTTTATTGTTCGTCAAGCTATACTCTTTTGCGAAGTATTCGTGTGGGCGACTGATATTATTCAATGGATAAAAATTCAAGCTAAAATCAGTTTTATAAAGAATCTGATTGTACTTACGAGGAATAATGGGTATTTATATATAGTTTAGACAAGTGAATGATGAAGCTACAGCTATAATTTAATTGAATGATATTATTCGTATACATTATTAAATGTTTTTTTTTAATTTCAGTCTCCTCCGGACGATGAACATGTTCGAGTTCGCTGTAAAATATGTGGTGTTGTTCTTGAAGGACGAAGCCGTTTTTCTAAACATGTTATAACAATGCATTCACATCTTTTGGATAAGAAAATATCTGGATCAAAACAACAACAACAACAACAACAAACTGCGATAGTTCGATGATTATTAATAATAATAATAAAAAAAAATAAACCAAATGTTCTACTTTGTGTATATCATTGTACGATGGTAGATTAGTCTTTGTATTTGATTTGTTTTTCTTCAGGGCTATTTGTCAGAAGTAGATTTTTGAAGAAATAATGAAAAATAATATTTCTTCAATATGACTATTTCATTGTCAAAAAGGAAAAATGCTTAAAATTGTTTTTCATTGTCTCTTGTATTTGCTCGATTTTGTTTTTTTGGTTTTTTTTCTTTTTTTTTCTCGGTCTACGTTTGTGTGTATCTCAATAAAAAAAAAACGGCGTGTGAAATGGACTAACTTGATTATTTTATTTGTATATTGTAGATCAATTAGAAAAATATAAAAATATGAGTGATCGAGATTATTTACCTTTATCAGCTGCATTAGTTAAAACATTAACTGATAAACTCTATGAAAAACGGAAAACAGCGGCACTTGAAATTGAAAAGTGAGAAATAAAAATCTTTTGAGTATATTTAACTATATATATATATGTTTATTCAGAATGGTACGAGAATTAATAGTGGCTCAAAATTATGATCAAATCGAACGAATTTGTAAAATTTTAAGTGAACATTTTGTTCTATCACAAAATGGAAATTTTCGTCGTGGTGGTTTAATTGGTATTGCAGCATTAGCAATTGCATGTGGCAAAGTAAGTTTATCATATTCATTTTCGAAAGTTGAAAAAAAAACTTTTGTATTAGGAAGCACAAAGATTCAAACAATATCTAGTACCACCAGTTTTACAATGTTTTCTTGATAATGATCCAAAAGTACGATACTATGCATGTGAATCATTGTATAATATAGCAAAAGTTCTTCGGACTGTAACACTTTCGTATTTCAATGAAATATTTGATTGTCTTTCTAAAGTAAATTTAATACAAATTCATTTTTTTTTGAATCAACTAATTTTCTATTAGCTTGTTTGTGATCTTGAACCGACAGTTAAAAGTGGCGCTGAACTTTGGTAAGTTAATTTTATTGATGTGAATTAAACTATTCTAGTCGAAATTGATTTTAGTGATCGATTATTAAAAGATATTGTAATTGAAACTTGTACTCAATTTGAAGTTATTGCTTTTATTCCACTTCTACGTGAACGAATTTATGTTCGTAATGCATTTACTCGACAATTTATTGTTTCTTGGGTATTATATTATAAATCAAATATTTTTCTCATTTTATTTAAATTCGTTTTTGCAGATATCTTTACTTACATCTGTACCTGAATTTGATATGGTACAATATTTACCAGAAATTATGGATGGATTATTTCATATCTTAGGTGATCCTAATCCAGAAATTCGTAAATCGTAATAGTTTAATTTTATTTTCATTTGGTTTTTAATTAAAGATTTGTTTTTATTTAGTTGTGAAATATTATTTAGTGAATTTTTATCCATTCTTAAATCATCTCAAGTTCAACCGGATATGTTCGAAGATATGACAAGAATTTTAATACAAAATTGTCAATCATCAGGTAATTTTATGTTTAATATATAATTTTTTATCAGCTCAATTGAAGGAAAATTAAAAGAATTCATAAAATCGAGTTAAATATTCATTAGGAGTAACATTACCACTTTTTACAACTATCAAACCAGATGGTAAAAAAGAATCTTCTTCATATTCTCTAGTTATGAGTGATTAACGCTTTAATATCAATCGAATAAAATATTTTATATTTACTTCTTCTTTAAAAAATATATCTATTGGATTCTTATTTAGAGAGAGAAAAATATTTTATATATATTTACTTTTTATACTCTAATAATAATTTATGTTGTATTTTATTTAGATGAATTAATTCAATATACAGGCTTACATTGGTTACGAGAATTTCTTAATATGCCAAAATGTCATCAAGTACTTTTACCACATTCAGCTGGTCTATTATCAGCTGTACTTCCATGTTTTTCTTACGATGATGATGGTCGTCAAAATATCCTTTTCTATTTTATACGCTTTTTTTTATTTAGCATTTTATTTAAAACTATTTTTCTTAACCATCTTCAACACACATTCGAGAGACTGCGAAAGAAATCAATTCCATCTTACGTCAATTAATTAAAAATGAAAGTACTAAAAGTATTGACAATAATTCTGTGCAAAGGTATTTTGTTCAAGAAAAATGAATAATAAAATTTGTCGTATTTTATAGTTTACCTGATTTAACAATAACAAAAATGGTTGAAGTACTTAAAACTCAGATTCAATCCGGTGCTTCATTATCACGTATCATTGCATTAGGTTGGATTCATCATTTATTCGAATGTCTTCAAGATAAAGTAATTTACAAAAAAAAAATATTTCTTAATCATATAAATTCTTTAATAGATGGTTGCACATATCGATGTTTTATTTCCAACATTATTTCGTGTACTCAACGATGCATCCGATGAGGTAAATAATTGTTTTATTTTTCGTTTCATAAACACCGTAAGTTGTTTTCCAGACAAGTATTTATCCTACAAAGGTAATTTATAAATTATAATAATTTGCATGTTATGATTTCTAAAAATAAATAAACTCACATTTAAGCTATAATTAAATAATGTCTATGCTAAAATATAAAAATACATCTTTCCCCTTATTTGCACATAGTCTCCAGCATTAGTTACTTCTACATATTCACCATTATCACGTAAAAAAAGTAATAAACAACAACATCAATATACAACAGAAGTAAGCGAGTAGTATTTCAATAAAAGAAATACATTGATTGGCATCTATTCTTTATTTTAAATCTTGAATGATTTAAACGTAGATAAATTCATCTCTGATATTTTTACTTGATTTGCTTGTATCATTCTCGCTCTGTTTATTTCATAGAAAAACAGTTTACTAAATAAATTCATTTTCTTCAGGCTGTACTGATAGTTCTACAAATTTTTGCATTAATATCAACATCAAATCGAACAAATGCCGAAAGAAATTATAATGATTATTTTACAAAATTTATTATTGTACTTATGGATTTATTCCGTACAGATCGGGGATTATTAGAAGCTCGTGGATCATTTATTATTAGGTTTGTAAATTGTTAACATACTATTATATCGTATTGATACTAACAAAATTTTATTTAGACAATTATGTATGCTTCTTTCACCTGAAGACATCTATAAAACATTATCGGAAACATTAGCTAATGAACCTGATTCACATTTTGCTTCGATAATGGTTAAAATTCTTAGTTCAATATTATTAACATCAACAGAATTACATGATTTACGAATTAAATTAAAAAATTTACAATCAATAGAAAGTTCGAATTTATTCGTATGTTTATATAAAACATGGTGTCATAATCCAATAGCATTAGTTGCATTATGTTTTCTATCACAAAATTATGATCATGCTTGTCGACTTGTTCAATTATTGTAAATAATTTACTTATTTATTTTTAAAAGAATACTTTTTTTTGTTTCTAGTGCAGAGATTGAAGTCACAGTTGATTTTTTAATTGAAATCGATAAACTTGTACAACTTATTGAATCACCTATATTTACATGTAAATAAAAATAATTAACTTTTTATCAAAAAACAATTAGTTTTTTTGGATTTTTCTAGATCTTCGTTTAGCACTTTTGGATGTTGAAAATAATCAAACATTAATCCGTGCATTATGTGGTTTATTAATGTTATTACCTGGTAAAACCGAAGCATTTCATACGTTAAGAAGACGTTTAGAATGTGTACCGAATTTTATTGATAAATTTACATCAATTGATAAACGTCTTGCTAAGTTAGATTATCTTTTTTTTTTGTTTATATATTAAAACAATTCTTTTTTCTTATTCTTAGTGTATCAATAAATACGAATGGAAATGAAATAATAAATGATTCGCAAAAAAAGAATATTAATTTTGATGAATTACAACAATATTATTTATCAGTACAGAATAAACATGTGGATTCTAAAAAACAAAGATATCGATATGTACCAAATACATCCGATGGAGTATGAAATCAAACCAAAAAAATTTTAAATTTTATTTCTATATGATGACATTTGTGTTTTGTATGATTATTTTGTTTTTCTTTGTATTCGTCTATTTATGATTCCGTTTTTATGTTGTTTTATTAAAATCAGTATAACTTTCAACGTTAATTTCATATGTTTCTTTAGGAAATTAAGACATTGATTGTAAAGTTATTTGATAGAAGAAAGAAAAAAAAAGCAATGATTTTTTTATTATACATGTTTATTGTATTTATTATTCATATTTCAAAATAATATAAGAGAATATCAGAAGTATGAATTAAATATAAGTATATATATATTTAAGAGATTGAAATAAAATCAAATAAATGAATAATTAGGTTTGTCATTTATGTTAAAATCGATGTTTTGAAAGAAATCTATTGAATTCAAATAGATTTATTTCTGTAATCATCGTGTAGCAATTGCTTCTTTTCTACATACTAATTCACCTACATGTGTGAAATTCTTGGTGAATATTACATTATTGAAATATTACTAACGAAGGGAAGATCCTCATATGCTCAAGCCGTTTAGACTCCGTCTTATGACCTGAAATTTCGCCTGTGAATAGCTCTGATGATCCCTAGAATATCCCTAATGTTTCAGTTAAACTGGATACTTTCTTAAGAAATTAGTAACTTTCCAGTAAATACTTATATTTTGATAAGATATCCTAAAATCGAGATTTTTTTAAAAACGGGTTATATCTCGAAGCAAACATCCGCTTTAAGTGAAACTTTAGGGGCATTCTAAGCATCATTAGACCTATTTATCGACGAAATTAAAGGTCCAGTAAAATAAAGATTCGAGAGAATGAATCTTTTTGAGATTGTTTATACCTCATTGAAGTCTACTGTTGGCCAAAAGATGGAGTGTGAACGGCTTGAACATCTGACAATCTTCTCTCATAAGAGCCTTGAAATTATTTTAAATATAAAATATTAATCTGTGCAAATCAGAGATGCAATCGATGGAGCAAAAATATCGAATAATAGGTTCTGATTTATGTGACTATAGCAATGCATGATGCAGGGAAGCTAATATTCCCAGAAAATATGAATATTAGAATGTAAACTTTTGAAATATTTATTATTTAGTTTTGAGGAATATCTTTAAGAATACAATTGACTTTTTTTGTCTTAACATTTTGAAAGTTTAATCTAATAACAGAAGCTATCTATTCATTTTAAACTATAACAGTTTCACGTGATAAAATATATAGAGGTCTCGCACGTTCTTATAAATTATTTTTCATCTAACCAATCAAAAATTTTCAATGAGTCATAGATGTATGAGTTAGACGAAAAGGCGACAAGCAAGTAAGCACGAGATTACTACTGGAATAGTTACACAAACATTTCTAGAGTAAAGAATAAAACTACAATAAAGTTTATTTTCCAGATACAATGACGACAAATATTTCAACTTCAAAATCTCCTCTACCACACTTTGCTTGTCAAGTATGCGGGAATTTCCTGCAACAAGATTCTTCATTAGAATCAATCGATGATCAGATAATGAAACCAAGTGGTGGTAAAAACAAATACATATTTTCAACTGAATTATATATTTTCTTTTATTTAAGCATGTAGTACAACCATGTGTGATGAATCCTATAATGAATTACAACAAGGCGGAGTATGTACAAATTATAATAGGAACGTCTTTTTTATATATTTTTTTTCTAGTCCGATGGTACTATTGTTATTCGTAAAACATTAGGACGAAAAAGATTGTATGTTACTTAAAAAATAAATAAATCAATTAATTCTTTTATTTTTTTCATTGTATATTCATAGATCACAAAGTAGTCTTGATAGTACAAACAGTTTTGCATTTGTTCCTCATGATTTAAATAAAGATTTGGAACAAAAATCAATGCGTGAATATCGAAATGATATTAATGTAAAAGAAAATTTCTTCTATCGCTTATTTATCTTTTAATTCTTTCATTTTATTTATAATAGATGCATGAAAAATTCTATGATTTTCTTTCTGAACAATATACATTTGATCATCCTTTATGTCAAGTAAGATTAAATTTGACTAAACAAATATTTTTTCTTAATTATATTAATTATAAAAAAAAACTAGGAATGTACAGATACACTGCTGGATAAACTCGATGTTGATTTACAAATGGCGACACATGAATTAACAAGTTATCAGTAAGATAATGAGAAAAGAAAACATTTTTATATTGATGAAAAATTAATATTTTTAGAAAATTACTCGAACAATTTAATTCAGCAACAAATATTCAACCAGAAGATTATGATAAATTAAAACAAGATTTACTTGAAGTAAAATAAAATAAGTTTAAGAATTAATTAATTTTTTATCTTTAAAATATAGTTAGATGAAGAAGAAAACAAATTAAAAGATGAATTAGCAGCTTTAGAAAAAGAAAATGAACGAATACAACATGAATCTGAACAACTAACAAAAGAAGAACAATCATTAGAAATTGAAGAAACTAGGTAATTATAAATATTCTATAACATTATAGATTATTTTTCTTTCTTTCGAAGATTTTTACGAGATTATAATGAACAAAAACGTTTATTATATGAAGCTGAAGATGAACAGAAAAGGTAAATATTCAAAAGACATAATTCATAAAATTATTTTCTTTTTAGTATTGATAATCAAACAAAACATGCTCGTGCTCAATATGAAAAATTAAGTAAAACAAATGCTTTTAATGCTGCATTTCATATATGGTTAGTTAAAAGAGATGTTTTCAACTTCTTTACATAATATTATTCCATAGGCATCAAGAACATTTTGGTACAATAAACGGTTTTCGTCTTGGTCGTTTACCAAGCATTGCTGTAAAATATTCTTTAAATATATTCTCTTAGTTATTTTATTTTGAATGAAAATAGGTTGAATGGTCAGAAATCAATGCTGGTCTTGGTCAAGCTGCTTTATTACTTAATTCCTTAGCTAAACGAATTGATCTTCAATTCACTAAGTAATCGATATTTGTTATTTATTTTTTGAAAATTATTACCTTTTTTTGTATATTAATAGATATAGAATTATTCCATTAGGAAGTTATTCCTATATAGAAGATTTTAATGAACGTAAAAATGGAAAATTTGTACAATTACCACTTTATACAGGTCGACGACATTTTAGTTGGGATACTCAGTAAATTTATTTTTATATTTATTTTTAAAAAACATTAATTTTATTTTTGAAAATTTAGATTCGATAAAGCATTGATTGCATTCCTTGATTGTGTTAATCAAGTAAGATTTTTAGTATCATCATCATTTTTTTAATATTTATTTTGATTTCATATAGTTTAAATTAGCAATTGAATCGAAGAATCAACGTTTTTGTTTACCATATAAAATGAATGAAAAAGGAAATGGTATTATAACCGATAGTAATGGTTATCAATTTAGCGTCAGGTATTAAAAATTATCAAACTTTCGAATATAGCTATTATCGTTTTAATTAGATCACAAGTTAGTTCACAAGAACAATGGACAAAAGCATTAAAATATATGTTAACGAATTTAAAATGGGGTAATTAATATTTCTTTTATATTTATGATAAAGTGAACTTATTTTCTATTAAGGTTTGACTTGGATAACCAGTCAGTTACCTGATGATATGACAACATCTAATGCTATCCCATCGCCATCATCACCAACAGTTGCATCGCCAAGATAAAACGAAAAATTTGTCTCTTTCTCCTCTTTTTTTTGCATATGTGTTTTTTTTTCTATATTTATTTTATCATTGTATATGATTTTTCTTTTTTTGTCGATTATAATTAAATCAAGGATAGATAATAACAAAAAACAAAACAGGAAAAAAACCTTTTATAAAAAATGAATTTTCTTTTATTTTATTTTTAAGAAAAGAAGAAAAAAACACACCGGAGAATGTTTCTAACAAAAGATTTACTATTGAAAAATCTCTTCAATAATACTCATACGATTAATCTTCATCGTACATTTACTCTTTCATCAATTCATTTTCGTAGACGTATTAAACATCCAACATATCAATATTTTCCATATCAAAAATATGATAGTTCAAATCCACTTCCTCATAGAGATCGAGTACCTGTTTGGAGGTAAATATTTCAATAATTTATAAATATTTTTGCAAAATTTTCTAATTCATAGTCGATTACAATTAACAACTAAAATGGCTAGTGAACATAAACCTGGTGGTCATAAACTTTGGCATGCCATGTATATGGCTCGTAAGTTAATTAATTGCTTAAACATTAAGAGTATAAAAGAATACTACTATGGGAATTGCAGAAAAAGGCAGTCAGACAAAATGCCTATAACTTAGCTAGAGTTCAGTGATTATCTAATCATCTATTTTAATTTATAGATCGTGGTGTTCAAATGGCTGGTTATTTTGATCATCAAACTGGTAAATTTGTTTATGTTGATGAAATGGAACCTGAATTAGTTGTACCTGATTTAACAGATTTCAAAGTAAATCTCAATAATTTTATTATAGTGTATTTTTCTATGTAAATATTCTTTTAGTTAAAAGCATACGTATCATATAATGTAACAGAAATTAAACAAGATCAACTTTTAGCACGTGATTTATTTAATGCGACATATGCAAAATCGATAGCTGATCAATTTAAAAGTGGTGAAATCAAACCAATTGATGATGATGATGTTATAGACGAAAATAAAGAAAAAACTGATTCATTGTCTTCAGTAAAATAAAAAAAAAGGCGAATAAATTTTAGGATGAATTTTGTGGTTCAAAGTCTTTAACAAATTGTATAAGCAATTTTTGAATATCTTTCTCAGATACTTGAGCATTGTTTTGTTCGAATAATTTAATTCGTGCTTGATTAATTGGTATACCACGTTCACGTAAATCAATATTATGTTCACTACGTTGTATATATTCATTTATTGGTAACATATGCTCAAATTTTTTAGCATAAAAACCTAATTGACCTTTTGTTGCACCATTGTTTGTTCCAGGTGAAAGAAAAATAACACCATCGGCATTATCATTCGTCGATAAAAATTCATCTATATCTTTCATCGTATTTAATTGCCCGATAAATTTCTAAGAAGAAAAATATAATTTTAAATAAAATTGCATAGAATTACTTTTTACTTCTGCCGTATATTCTGATGGTAGAATAGAAATAACAAGACGAATATTTGGTCCAACAATTTTTTTAACATCTTTTTGTAATAAATCTTGAACAGACATTTCTATTGATGAATATAATGTACTATTTTATTCAAATTAAATTTAATTGATTACCTGCAATATCAATAAGTATTCTGTATGAATCTAAATGATTAAATGTCGTAATAGAATACGTCAAAAAGTAAACTGACTGTTCGTATAATTTGCTTATCTCTCTTAGTTGTTTTATCAGTGTTTTATAAAAAAATTCACTGTGTTGAATAGAATAGATTCGTCTATGAATCAAAGATAATATTTTTTATCTTTGTTATATTTTTCTTTACCTTTCTTTCATTTTCTATTCGCTTACACAATAACAAATAAGTAATATTTAATGAAAGAATTTTATTTCTATCGGTTAATGTTAGTCATAAGACTATACTTAAATTAATTTCATACAAAACCTAGACGACTTTAGTATGCAAACAAAATATGAATGAATGTATATGTAATACAGATAAATGAATGTATATGTAATACAGATAAATGAAGAATTTTATTTTATGAAAATATTTTAATCGAGTTACTAGATTTTGATTCGACATATAGTATGAAGAAAATATGTATAAATACATACTTCTATTGTTATATTAACCTGACATATACCAAATAATCCGCTCTGCAACTGAAATCAAATACTATCGGTTATTTGACATTTTCTTTGGAAGAGCGTATTATAAAATAATGATATATTACAGTCAATATATGAGATTTATCTCTTTACGAATAAATTAATTATGAGATCAGACATATTTAGACGTTCAAATGTTGCTTTAAACTCTCTTCATTTTCTAAACCGAAATAATTTACAAATTTGTTCGTTTATTCACGAGAAATACTTTTCAAAAATACCGTGATCAACAACAAAAACTAACGTATTCTTTTATTCATATTCATCTATTCTCAAGACGTTTATATTAGATTAGAACAAATATAATTGTCGACTACTGAAAGAATGTAGAAATATGTGGTTTTTACAAAAACAAAAATAATGAATTTTTTTGTATTCATGAATGTTCTAAATTTCCACTGGATTTTCAAGTATCTACCATTTCTCCTTCTGTATAGAATTATATATGATCATACAACAAAAAATACATAGAAATTCACATTAACAGTAATTTAGATCGAACATATTTGTTAAAGTGTAAGAAATGAAGGGAAAATATTTTCATTTACTCTTCTGAAATCTCAATCGAGTAAAAAATATTTATATGTGATCTACATTTGTCGTATTTTTTCTTAAAAATATGAGCAAAATTGACTGATAGGGTAAGAAACCTGTTGTTTGATGCTTTTAAATGAGTGAAATTTCTAATTGACCAATCAGAAAAAAATATAATAGATTTTATATATGCATATTTAATTTAAAAAACTTGAAATATATATATATCTTAAATTATGAAAATATTTTTTTAAATTAATTAATTTAATTTTTTTATTTTCAACTTAATTTTTATTGGTTGGGGATAAAACAATAAAGGTCAACATACAACTAGTTTCAATATGGACATGCAAAATATTTTCATATGCACATACATTTCTTTTTTTTTCTTTGTTTTTCACAATAGACAAAAATTATCTTCAATTCATATTTATTTTCTGCTTCTTTTTCTTCGCTTTTGGCATTAATATGTTTTCACTTTTATTTATAATTATTATCCCGAGTTGTTCCTATCTATATGACATGTATGAAAATCTAGGAAATAAGCTAACAAGATATGAATAGTATTTAATATGTAAATAATTCGCTTATTCATCCGAAGAGTATGGCGAATATATGTCCTGATCGAGTTTATCTTCTCATTGCTGAAAAAAGAACACGACTTCAACTGAATTGTTCTTATTGAAGTTGTGATTTAAATTCATTATAAAATAAATTTATATCAACAGCGAAATATACCCATGCAAAAAAAAACACATGAAGTTTTTAGATTAACGCCAAATTCTATTACTGTATTTAAAACGAACAACAACAACATACTGAAATGACTGATTCCGATAAAGTTGGCCTTGGTCTTGATGATATTATTCGACAAGATCGTTCAAGTCGACGCGGTCGTGGCGGTGGTAATCGAGGATTTCGAGGACGAACTGGTGGTCGTGGTGGTGGTGGTGGTAATGGATTTCGAACTCGTGGTGGTGGCGGAATAGTAAGTTTATTCTTCTTGTTTTTTTTATATTATATTTATTTATTGAACTTATTTAGCCTCGAGCACCAAATGCACCAGCAATGGGTCGTTGGAAACATGACCTATATGAAGATAATACAGGTGGAAGTCGAGGCGTACAACGAAATGTTGGTGTGAATAGTACAACTAAATTACTCATTTCCAATCTTGATTTTGGTGTAACGACAAATGATATTCAAGTTAGAAAATACTTTATTTTCTATTTAAACTTATAATTAATTCTTCTTTTTTTTTCTTGATAATTTAAGGAATTATTCGAAGATGTAGGTGCTGTACGTGTAGCACGTGTGCATTATGATGAATCTGGTCGATCTTTAGGAACAGCTGAAGTTGTATTTGAACGTCGTGTTGATGCAGTTGCTGCTCAACAAAAATATAATACTCTTAATCTTGATGGTAATTTTACAAAAATAACTGAATATATAAGCCATTATTATATAATATTTCACATATACAGGTCGTTCTATGGACATAAGATTAGTTGGCAGTGTTGGTGATGGATCCAAACCACAAGTAAATCGATTTACTTCAGCTAATGGAGGCGGCGGCGGCGGTGGTGGTGGTGGTGGTCGTGGTGGTGATAGAAATCAACGATTTGGTAATCGTAATAACAACCAACAAAATGGTTTTCGAGGTAATCGACAACGTGGTGGTGGTGGTGGCGGCGGTGGTAGACAACAACAAAATGGTAGTAATGGAAAAACAGACGTTTCAGCTGAAGATCTTGATGCCGAACTTGATGCTTATCGTGCTGAAAGTAAACAAAAAAAACAATAATATCATTCTTATGATCCGTTAACATTCATGTTGTTGTTAATGTCATTTATTGTCTTGTACATGAAACTATTCAATTTATATGTACACAAACACAATATACTCTTTGAATAACAAAACAACATTTGATCTTTTTTCTTTTTTGATTTTGTTTTCGTTGGATCTATGTCATTAATTGTATTTGTCGTTTTCTTTTTCCTCTCTTGTTTTCGATATAAATGTGTATGTGTGTGCTCTTTGTAAAATTACTGTGTGAGTTAACCGGTTGTTTAAACCAGACATATTAAAAGAAAAAAAAATGTATGATTAACCGATCACATAATTTAAATGTGTTCGAAGAAAACTATGAAATAATTCTTTTAAAATTTCTTTCGACGTAAATAATGATCCTGAAACAAGAAAACTAGATTCAGTAAAATACTTAGATTTTGAATGGAAAAAGGAAAAAATGAAGTCTTCTAACTATTATTTTATACCGTACTTTCAATATCATTAGAATGAAAGCTTATATGGGTTCTTTTTCTTTCTGAGAATATTGCTCAAAGTTTCAGCAATGATACAATAAAAAGAGTAAAGACTTGAAAATTTACATAAAGAATAACTTGTAAATATCCAGTAGCATATATAATTGTTCTCGTTGTTCCATCTCCATAATGTTTTGATTCTGGATCAACATAAACAATTTTTCTATCATGTTCACATCGAAATCTTATTCCATTAACATCTGGTAATAAACGAAAATTATTTGTATCATTCGATATACACATATGTGTATCCCAATTATAAAAACTTAAATCAGTTGTTAATGGTTCAAGTTTAGTTTGTCCAATGAAAAATTGTGTAAAATCTTCGAATTTTAATCGGTGTGCATAGTCAATGTATGCTGATATTTCATGACCGAAACTATTTCTATCACGTATGAAAATAATTGTTAATATATGAGTAGTTCGATTAGCTTCTTCACGAGAAGCAAGTTCTTTAGCAAATGTATCGATAACAGTTAATGTATCACTAATTATTGGTATTGGACCTTGTCGACGAGAATGAAGAATAACTTCAGCACGATGTTTACGTTCTTGAAAATCTTTTCGTGATATAGCATGACCAATACCTCGATATCCTAATTCAACAAATTCACGTGCTATGTCACTATCCTTGAACAGCGGAAAAAAGATAAAAAATAATAGTTATTATTTTATTTATAAACAAAGTGCCTGTAAATAATTTTGATCATTTTCAGATATTTGACTATCAAGAAAAGCTTCATATGCTATAATTAAATAAAATATATTGAACTATTTTTAATTTGAATATCAGAAGGGTGAAAAGAAGCAAATCATTAATTAATACAATTTTCTTCTCTCCTATTGATTCAAAAATGGCGTAACAATTACAGAGAATAAAAACTGAAGCATTCAGGTTTATATTAACATACTCGTAAATTCAGTAACAAAATCAGCCATTGCATTTTGATCGTCATCAACATTGAATTGTCGATTCGATTTCTATAAATATCTCGATTGAAGAGATATCTTAGAAAATAATCAATTATTATTACTTACATTCTGCGACGTATTCATTCTTGAATATTTAACTCAAACATCAACTCCCGCTCTTTTTTTTTCTTTTCCTACTATTAGTAATAACTCTCAACACGACCTCTGCAGAATTTGCTTTTTTTACACTAGTTTTCTGTTGTTCTATTGGCATGTATACTTCGGAACTATGGTAAAATAATGGCTAACAAACGGTTTGAATACTTCAATAATATGAGTTTGATGTAATACTCAAAAAAAGAACCGTTGATATTAAATCATCATATAAAACAACAAACTATATATTTATACACAGGATACAATTCGATGTCAGCTGGTAGAAACCTTAAAAAAATTAGTTTTTATTTTCTGAATTCATTTTGTTTTATATCTAAATAGATAAATCTATTCGTCAATATTTTCATCAATTAACTAATGGTTGTGGTACGAAACTAGTTTTGAAATATTATTCTATTTCTATTATTTATTAATCTAATAGGAAATAATCAATGTTCAAATGTGTATTGTCGATCATGTTCAACATGTGAATATGATGAAAAAATGTTAAATGATCCAAATAAAGTAGCTGCTGAAGCCATTCGACTTTGTGGTAAACATGCACAATTATGTATTGATAAAAATATGTTAAAAACGAATATAGAAGAAATAAAAATAAGAAATTTAACAGAAGATTATCTTCATGAATTAATTGAACAATGTCAAAAAACAGCTGATTGGAATTTATTAAGAGACGAAATTGATATCATATTTTCTAATCGATTAAATTTATCAACTAGTTTTTTAAAAAAAGAATTCTTAGAAAATATATCAATTAAGAAAGAATCTTCTTCAAATAGTACAACATCAAAAAGTAAATATTCTTTTCATTATTTTTTCAAAAAAAATTAAACAAAATAAATATAGGTTTGTTTATAAATGATCCACGTATTACATTGGACAATGATGAAATTACATTAGATATTGATATTATGAAACGTTCGATAAAATTATTAGTTTTATATGACGATGAAATATCTTCAACAATTCATACATCATTAGATATATTATTAAATGAATTATATTGTGAATTAAAATCATCGAAACAAAATGAACTTGAAATGGACGCAAATTTTTTTAATTTATTTTTTATTATTTTTGAATTATCATTTCTTTCTGATCCAATTTTTCTCTTTGACATTGCTCGATTATTTTATTCAATTTTGACAAATTTATCTATTGAAGCACAAGCAAAATTTGTACGTCTTCTATCGAAACACGCAACAAATCTGACTGATTATATTTCACATGTACAACAATATATTACAATGCATACTTTACGTTGGTGTGATCATACAGATATTAAGTCCGACAGTGAAGAACTTCTATCAAGTGAACCAGGTAATTCATATAGTTTCGTATCTTATCTATCTACATGATAATGACATAGGTTTAGTGAGGATTCCGAAAGATGCGCACGATCTTGCGAATGAATGTACGAAATATTAGTTAATATTTAATTTTGTAAGAACTCTGTTTGTTTTTGGATAAGAAAATTAAACTTCTTTTCAATTATTTTTATTTTATAGAGTATTGATTTTAATCACTTGGATTTTTTTAGGGATGAAAGAAGGACTCGATGTATTACGTATGCTATTCTATGCTAATCTTTTGCGTGGTAAACGTGATACATTGAATATTATAGAAACTGAATATGACAATGAGGCAAAAATGGAAATTGAATTAGTTAAACGTCGTCAACGACGTACTGATGATACTAATAATAGTGAAAATCCAACGACAAACGAACAACAATCGACTGGTGAAAGTACCACAGAAGCCTCAGCAACTTCGACAACTACATCAAGAACACGTAGATCAACAAATGCAAATAGTGATAGTGAATCTCCCTATGAAAATAAATTGCAATTAAAACTTGATATTGAACCAAATGAATATCGACATGGTCAATATTCATTTGATACATTTGTTAATGAATTTGCCAATGAAAAGGTCGAAATAAGAAAAGAATATTTAGATTTTATTCAAAAACCATTAAATATTACTGAATTTTCATTTATTTTCTATCCATTTTTTCTATCGACAATAAATAAAATAGGTAATTTTAATAAAAATATTTTTTTTGTTTTTATAAATATTAATTTCTATTTAGCATTACTTAATATTGAAAATAAAGCACGAATGTATTTTCAACGACGTTCAGTACTTATGCATAATATATTTAGTATGATTCCTATAAATCCTTATTTTAAATTATGTGTTCGTCGTGATCATTTAATCGAAGATGCTCTAATTTCGGTATGTTAATATAATTTGTTTTTCTGCACACAAACTTTCTTTCTATAGAACACAATTTATTTTATCTAGCTCGAATATCAAGGTATTGAACAACCATATGAACTTAAAAAACAATTATTTATCGAATTCGAAGGTGAACAAGGTCTTGATGAAGGTATAAAAAAATTTATTTCAATAGTATATTATAATTTCATTTTTAGGTGGATTATCAAAAGAATTCTTTCAACTTATCACTGAAAAAATCTTCGGTCCCGAATATGGTACGTTTCTATTTTAATAATGCATTCAATATGAGTGTTAACCGAGAAATGATGAACTTAGTTTTATATGTTTGTATCCTTTGATCATAGCTATGTTTATGACAAATGAAGAAACAAATTGTTTATGGTTTAATCCATCAGCTGCGGAAGATCTTGATCGTGAATATACATTGATAGGTATATTATTAGGTTTAGCTATATATAATTCAATTATTCTTGATATTAAATTTCCACCTGTTATTTATCGTAAATTAATGGGTAAAATTGGTACGTTTGAAGATCTTGAAACATCACATCCGGTAAATTTTATTATTTATAAAAGAAAAAATTTTGTATTAAAAACAAAAAACATTCTTATTATTTAGACAATATATAGTAGTTTAAAAAAACTATTAACATTTGATGAAGAAAAAGAAGGTATGACTATTGAAGATGCATTTGGTTTAACATTTCAAGTTGCTATTACTGATGTATGGGGTTCACAAATAATATTTGATTTAAAAGAAAATGGTGCAGCAATATCAGTTACAAATATTAATCGAGAGGTTATTAAATATAGGACGAGGGGTGTTTTGATCACCGAAAAAGGAGTGAAATGATCACTTAATTAGTTGTATGTGAAATGATCACCGAAAAAGGAGTGAAATGATCACCTAATTAGTTGTATGTGAAATGATCGTCGAAAAAAGGGTGAAATGATCACCTAATTTATCTGTATGTGAAATGATCACCAAAAAAGAGAGAAATGATCACCAAATTAGAAAAAACAGTTAAAAATTAATCAAATAGAGTTAGAAAGGGTGATTTGATACAACTTTTTTTTTTAAAGACCTTTTTGTAAATGATTATACCTGGATGTGGTAAAAAAGTGGGAACAAAGATTAGTATAGGTGTGTAGAGAAATGTTTGGGCTATCGAATGGTATAGTTATAAAAAAATGATTTAAAATAGCTTAGTAAATTAGATTTTATTATTTATCAGTAAAATACATGGGGTTGCCGAATCATCCCATGCGAGGTAATTTGGCAAAGCTATTAGTCAGTCTCACTAAAACGACTGCTGAAACTTTACCAGAAGAGATTTTTAGAAATTAAACACCAAGCGATAGAGAAATATTTTTACTAGATGTTTTGTACTCGAAAAAGTTTTCTATCGTGGAAAATAAAAAACTATTAGCAAAATAACATAAAAATTAAAATTCGGGTGCTAAATCACCCCTTCTTACTCTATTTGATTATTTTTTAACTGTTTTTCTAATTTGGTGATCATTTCACTCTTTTTTTGGTGATCATTTCACATACAGATAAATTAGGTGATCATTTCACCCTTTTTTCGGTGATCATTTCACATACAACTAATTAGGTGATCATTTCACTCCTTTTTCGGTGATCATTTCACATACAACTAATTAAGTGATCATTTCTCCCTTTTTCGGTGATCAAAAGACGTTTCTCCCTTAAATATATATAGAAATTTCATTTTAGTAAATCAATATTTGTGTGTATTATAGGAATTTGTTCGTCTTTATAGCGATCTTTTATTAAATAAAAGTATCGAAAAACAATTTCATCCTTTCTTTCATGGATTCTTATTGGTAACACGTGATAGCTCATTACGAAAATTATTTCGACCCGATGAAATTGAATTACTTGTTGCTGGTAGTCAATTACTTGATTTTAATCAACTTGCTTCAGCTGCTACTTATGATGGTGGTTATACAAAAGATAGTCCAACAATTCAGTATGTTTTTTTAAAAAAAAAAGCAATTCTTTGTCTATTATTGGTTAAAAATATATCTTTCATCATATTCAAAAATCTATTTACTAAGTTAAATTTCCTATTATTGCAACACGAAACAATTTCTATTGTTGTAATAGAATAAAATAAGCTAAATTTCTTTTTTTCCTCTTCAATTGAATTCAATAGACAGAATTTAATGATAAACAATTTTTTTCCTTGCTTAATTAATGAAGATGTCTGTGAACATAAACCAGCTGTATGGAAAAATAAAAGTTTTGACTAGCTAATATATATATGTTATGATTTATACCTTTGTTATAAGATTTTTGTAATTCTAAAATTGATGAAATGTAATTATTTGTCAATATTCATTACTGTCCAACATACTAATCAAATTTTCTTTTATTCTATCATCTATCAATAGTCTACTATCTCAAGAGTATTCTATTGGTTATAAGTATGTTGTTTAATTAATTTCTACAATAATTTAGATATTGACATAGAATTTCGTATGTGATGAGAGAGAGAGAAAAAGTATAAATTCTAATTTTAGAAATTTTTGGAAAGTCTTAATGAATTTTACTGATGAACAAAAACGAAAATTTCTACGATTTACTACTGGTAGTGATCGTGCTCCGTATGTTATTTAATTTTCTATTGATTAAATAATAAAAATTGTAATTCTTTTTTTTTTTGAATATTTAGTATTGGTGGTTTAGTTAGATTAAAACTAATTATATCTCGTAATGGTCCTGATGCCGATCGTCTGCCAACTTCTCATACATGTTTCAATGCTCTTCTTCTGCCTGATTATTCATCAATTGAGAAATTACGAGAAAAACTTTCTATTGCAATTGATAATGCCGAAGGATTTGGATTACGCTAAAAAGCTAAATCAATCTTTTATTCTTTTATGTATTTTTTCCTTCTTCACTATATTTATGAGTGTGTGTATATATAGAGAAAGAAAATATCTTTTTTTTTTATCCAGTTTTTAATTGAACTAGATCCTTTTACTTTTTTTTTTTTGAATATTAATTCAGAATTTGTGTGTCTGATTAAACGAAATTTTTTATTATATTCTAAAGATTACAAAATGTTTAACTCTAATGAGACATTCCGAAAGCGTGCATGACGTTTAGAGAAATGTGCGTGTGACAAATCGCGTCAAAGTTAGGACAAATCCACTTGTTGTTGGCAGACCGACGACATTATGATTGACGTTTACAAAGCATACCTGAAACTTGCTGCGTGTCTCATTAAACAAAAAAAGAAATTGTTAAAAAGAACGAGGAGAGAAGACGAAGAAGCAGCAGCAGAAGCAGAAAAAAACGGTAAATTTCAAGTGTAAAACACATATATATAAAACAAAGAACACGCGAAATCTAATCGACTCATCTGTCATAGAATTTGTACTGAAAGATAACTTTCTTTCTTCAATCAGACAAAAAGAAAAAAGTCATTATTCGCTTGGTTAGATTCACACGTGTCACATAAATTATACCTTCGATATATACATATATATATATTCTTTATACTTGTTGATGATCAAATTCATTTTCTATTTATTCAACGATTTAAAAAAATCTATCGATATATATATATATATATACATGTTAGGGTTACTAGTAAGAATGGAATATATTGTTGAAATAAATTGAAATGATAAGCCTATAACACGCATTCATGTCTTCAATTCAATTTGATGAAGAGAGAGAGAGAGAGAAAGAGAATGACATTCGTTTTGTTGGCAATACATCTGTCAATAAAAACAACGATAAAGATGTTTTTTTGTTATTTAAAAGACGATAAGTAAATATAAATATGTATAAAGATTCTCTCACCAATTCACTGATCTACATATTCAAATTGATTTTGACTTATTTTCTTCGATAGTTAATCTAACAATTTATTCTTGTTTTCCTTTTTGCTTTAGTTGATAAATACATATATGTCAAAAATCTTTCTGTTTTTTTTTATATTGAATATGCATGTCTGATTTAATAGAAGAGTAGGAAAAAAAAATGTTTCATATCCGATAGTTCCTCTTATTAATCCTCAATTTCAACATTGCTAGTCAGTATACTACTGGCAGTAAATCTCTTTTTCTTCTCTTATTTCTTGTCGTCGTCGTTATATATGTGTATGTGTGCTATACCGCTTTCTGACATGTCACAAGAGAGAAGAAGAAATTGACGAAGCTGATTCGTTAAAAAGAAAGAGAAGAAAAAAGAAGAAAAAAAAATAGAGATTTACTCTTTTTCTCAAATTCTCAACTGATCTTAACCAATGAAAGATTTTCTTTTGCTCTTTTTCTCTCTCTCTCTCTCTCTTTCTAACCACTCGAAATTAAGTTGATCGATGATGATGGTTGGTAGTGCTCTTTCATTCGATCTCGACGCCTCGCGCTTGATTTACATCTCAAACACTTGACGTTTTTTTTCTCCTACAAACTACACGAAAGTTTGACTGTCTTTTTTTATTACTTATGGATATTCATGAAAAGAATATTAATAATAATAAATCATTAAGTAATAATAATGGTACGTATATTTTTATTTATTTCAAATCTTTATCATGTATTATATGTTTTAGTTTATCTTGATTTTTTGTTCTATTTACTATATCCTAAAACTTTTTTGTTTCCTATTGGTATACAAGAGTGCGTGAGGAAGTCTTTTGAACCGTAAATCTTCTTAGTGTACAATGATTATCTTGAGACATTCACTTGTCGTTCCATTGTATATGACATGTTCTTTTTTTTCGATTAGACTTTCCCTGTTCAATTGTTATTTGCACGATGATAATTCAATAGATTTCTTTCTAGAAATTGAGAATTGGAAGTTGACGACAACGACAGCACGTTATCCAATTAAGTCTATAAGAAACTTATCTTCTTTTTGCTCGATCGAATATTTCATATATATATATATATATATATATATGTATATAAAAAGAAATGATAATCATGCAGCGACGAAGTAGAACAAATTAGACGCACATCACATCGATCTCTCTTTTTTTCTTTTTCCTTCGCACAAGTGATCAATGATTTGAAGACATCATGCTGAGTATGTGTTCATTCTGGCTAAATTAACATCGTTAAACTTGTCAAGCAATGTAGGAACAGTACATACACTCTATATAAAATTAATCACATAGACATCGTCATTTTGAGTAGTGTTGTTGTTCTCATAAGGGTGAATACGAAAGAAGAGACGTGTGAGCGGCAAATCTTAATCTAAAGCAAAAAAAGAAGAACGATAAAAAAAAGAAATATATACAGAATTTAATTTGTATATTTATTCATTGATTAGATTGTTCATCACCAAATGAAACAAGTCCAACAATTAATGATGATGATGATAATAGTAGTCACAGTAGTATTGAAAGTAATAATGATGAACAAGAACAACTTGTTCAACCTAAAGAAGAACCAATTTTAAATTATTATAATTCATTAATACCTCCTAAGACAGCTTCAAATGCTGAAAATCCATTTGGAATACTTTCTATGTGTTTACCATCATCATCAACATCAACATCAACATCATCATCATCATCAAAAATGGTTCGACCTCATTCATTTACAAATCATCGTTATGCTGTTGTACAACCTTATCCTATTTCACCTCATGCTTATTTTGCTAATATGGCTAAATATACTGAAGCAGCTGCCGCTGCTGTTGTTGCTGAACAACAACGTAATCAACAAGTTGCTAAGTTAGCTGCTGCTGCTGCCGCTGCTGCTGGTGTTATGGGAAGCAATTCAATGTCAACAAATCATAATATTGGAAATAATTTAATTTGTGCAGTTTGTGGAGATATTTCAAGTGGGAAACATTATGGAATTTTAGCATGTAATGGTTGTAGTGGATTTTTTAAACGTAGTGTTCGACGAAAATTAATCTATCGGTAAGATTTCTTTTGATAATACAAAAATGTAACATAAAGAAAGAAAAAAAAATCTCAATCATCTTTTATTTAAGATGTCAAGCAAATACAGGTATGTGTATTGTTGATAAAGCACATCGTAATCAATGTCAAGCTTGTCGACTTAAAAAGGTAAATATAAATCTATGAGATTTTATGATATAATAGTTTATGTTTTATTTTCATAGTGTTTACAAATGGGTATGATAAAAGAAGGTAAATTATAATTTGTTTTTTTGTAAAAGTAAATCATAATACTTGTCATTTAAAGCTGTACAAAATGAACGTCAACCACGTAATAGTGCTCAAGTTCGTGCGGATTCAGTTGATTTTCATTGTGATGGTAATGGTACAACAGTATCTGTTATGCATCATCGTCCAACAAATTCGAATTCTGCTTCATCACCTGGTGAAGGCAGTACATCATCGATTAAACAAGATGGTAAAAAAAAGAGTCAATCAAATTTAATCTATATTTCTTTTTTTTTAAAGATGAATGTGATTTATCAACATCACAAATATTTCCTAATGAAACAGATGATCAAATATCAGCAACATCAGCACAAATACTTTTGATGATTGTTAAATGGATTCGTAATTTACCAACATTTTCAAGTTTACCTTTTCGTGATCAGGTATTTATTTATAAACATATATTGATGTGTGTGTGTGTGTGTGTGTGTGTATCTATCAAAAGAAACAAGTTCAAATAATGTTTTTCTATTGACATATTCTAATCCTAAAATATCATGTCATTTGAAAACGTGAACATCTTTTGATGAACTTGATACATATAATATCATTCTCTATTCAAATAATCAAATGATGAAAGAAGGATCAAGAAATAAATAAATTCACATTCAATCAACATAAGAGTGATAATAAGATGAACTAAAAATTGTCAAGTAGAAGAGATTTAGAAGTATCATTGTTAATCTTCAAGGAATAAAAATAAAATAGAAAATTACTTTTTTTCTTCTTTATTTTAATGTCCATCTGTCACAACTAATTTGTTTTTTTTTTCGCAGTTGATTTTATTAGAAGAATCTTGGTCGGAATTGTTTCTTCTTTGGGCAATACAATGTTCAACATCATTAGAAAATGGTGGACCACTTTTTACAGCAGCTCTTAATCGTTATCAATTAGAAAATGAAAATGGAAAGTCTCTCTATCGTTTATTAAATGATATTTTATATCGTTTTAAACAATTAAAACTTGATCCAATTGAATTTGCTTGTTTGAAAGCAATTGTTCTTTTTCGTTTCGGTAACAAAAAAAAATAATGAAAAAAAATCAAATTAAAATTTATTTATTTTGTAGATACACGAACATTAAGAGAATCAAAAATGGTTGAAAATTTACAAGATCAAGCACAAATAACATTGGCACAATTTACACAAATTCATAATCCAACACAACCAACTCGGTAAATTAAATTTGAGTTTGTTTTTGTTCAAACTCTTTTTTGTTGCTTTAGTTTTGGTCGATTACTTTTAACATTACCATTATTACGAAGTATTCCATCATTGTTAATTGAGAAGACTTATTTTGCACGTACAATTGGAAATACATCCATGTCGAAATTACTTTCTGATATGTTTAAAAATTAATAATGTATAGAACTTAATGAACAAAATATGAGTGATTGTTGTTTTTTGCAGTCCCTTTGATTGTCCTCGTTTTTCTTTTTTGTTCTTCTTTTTCTCTCTTTTCATTTTTTTTCTCGTTTATTAACCATATGCATGCCATGCACATTATGATTATGATTATTATTATTCGAAATAATTTTAATGTTGAAAAGATTTTAATGTCTGAAATAATGATTTTTCATAGTTTGTTGCGGATGGGAATTATTCAAATGAGTGAGTAATGTATTTGAGAAAGGATATGTTTTTAATGATTGGTCAATTATTGAATAGAAAGATAATCAATTGTTTGTTTAAACGAAATATCAAATGAATAATAGTAGTACGGAGTTGTTGTCGTAAATACTGAATAATTCAATATCAAGGTGGACAAACATTCTCTTCAAAATACTTTTTGTATGATTATACTCGTGTCGATAGTATTGTGTACTGTAAATACCATAAATCAAAAGCCATATAATCTATTACTCTTTGCAACCACTGTTGAATCTATAATCAAGCAAATGACTCTTAAAAATACAAAATTTATTTTCATTATATTTGAAAGTTTTCAGATTTCTCTGTCGAATACTGGTAAATCCGTCAAAAAAAAACTTTAGAATTTATTCAGTTTATTTTGGATGCAAATGATTATTTAGAAAAAGTTTAGTATGATATATATTGACAGTTTAACAAGAAACAAGGTTTCACTAGCTGTTATACACATATATATAACTCATTCATCTTTCTTTCTTTCATAAGACAAATATTATCATAAGCAAAGATATGTTATACATAAAATCTTAAATAGTTCACAGCACAAAATATTAATTTTTATAGTATCTCATAAAAGCAACAAATTTCAATATTCAAGTTCATAAAACATTGATTTGATATATTTCACAGAATAACATTAGTTCTGAAAATAAAAGACATGCAACAATTTATTGATTTCTTCGTCTACTTCTTATACAAATTCATTTTCATTACGCAGACCTTCTTCTCGTCAAAGTCGTTATTTCTTTTTCAGTTTCTTTTTTTTCGTTTTCTTTACTGCTTCAGTCTACTTCAATTATTCTGATGCATGTAAAAAAAAAGAAACACATGTGCAATAATGTACGACAGTCTATTGTAAAGAAAACAAAAAAACGAAAAAATCGAAGCGATCATGGAGAGTATTTGATTTTTGTCTTTCTCTACTCAATTTAAACAAGAAACAAATATAAAAATTCAAACAAATTTTATCTATATATATTTATAATGGCATCTTCATCATATGATTATTTTACTGATACATCGAATACACTTAATAATAAATCTGATGTTATTTTAATAGTTGGACAAGAAAGATTTTATTGTCATCGATTATTATTATCTTTAGTTTCACCTGTATTTGCACGAATGTTTGATGGACAATTTCAAGAACATGATACTCGTGAAATTATTTTAGAAGGAAAAAAAAGTGAAAGTATATTAGCATTATTAACATATATTTATCCACAATTTAATAGAGAAATTACTGATAATAATATTGAAGATTTTCTTTTATTAGCTGATGAATATATGATCGAACATCTTAAACAACCTTGTAAAGATGCTTTAATTAAACAACTTCAATCATTTAAATTTGTTCTACTTCCAACAGAACATAAACTTCAACAGGTACAATTCCTAAAAACTTCTTTAATTAATTCGAGTTTGATTTTATTTTAGCAATCAAAAAGTTTTCATACAAGTACTCCAACACCTGATTCTTCTCAACATCATCATGACGAATCATTAAATCATCTTCATACAGATCGTACTAATCCATCACATAGACCAACTCCAACTACTCGACATTCTTCAACAAAATTACCATCAACTTATTCTAAAACCAATGATAAAAATAATTCAACATCAAATTCTCAACCTCGTTATGTACTCTTTCTTGATAAAACTCAAATACCGAAATTTTATAATACACAAAATATACATATACCATTTACTACTAATGACCTTGAATTATGGTTTCGTCGTTTGCGTATTCTCTATCAAGTTGATAAAGGACGATATTATATTGAAGTTATTGATCATATTTTAAGTATTCTTCAATTTATACCATCGAATTTACTTTGTACTGCGACACATATTACAAAAGATACTTATTCAATCGATGAAATTATACTTAATGATATAGCTCGTGCAAGAATGTATATGCTTGAAGAATGGACTACTGATGGTGATCCACATCGATTGATTAATTTATCTGAATCCTATCGAATCCTATCACCTAAAGTTTTAGCTACTGATGCTCAACAATCAATAATTTTATCAAATGGTGACGAAAATCCTTCACAAGAAACTATACTCACATCACCTAATTCAGAAGCAACTGCTTATAGTTTTCAATTTACTCTTGATTCCGATTGAATTATTATCTAAGCGAAAAATATTTTATTTTCTCACTGTAATATGTCTATATTTGATTATTTTTTTTTTCTTTTAAATTTTATTTATTAATACAATTTAGCAAATATATTTATTGTATTCTAAATTAATATTTATGAATAAAATTGAATAGAAGAAAAAAAATGATAGAAGTATTGTAGCGTCCTCTGATTAGCATTTTTTCATATTGTTGAATATTTTACCAATCAAATATGTTCTTGCAAAATGATTATTTCATTCTATATTTCAATTGATTTAAACAAATTTTTTTTTATGGGTATAATAGTTGATTAATATTTTATTTTCTCCATTGATTTTAGATAACCAATCATTATCTATGCCACTGATTAATTTTCGAAATATTCTTTCTTGTTCAAGTGAAGATCGAGTTAGTTTTAAATTTATTCATTTTTATATTCAATTATTGTCTCTATTTAGATACATTGTGCTGAAAATTTATTAAAACCTGAACAATATAAAAAATGGTTATCATCAAAAGGTAGTGAAGAACGTATAACATGTATACTTGAATTAGAAAAATCAAGTTCAATATCATCTGTTGATATTGGTAATGATGGTAGTGCATTTATTGAATTATTTGTATCTCGATCATCATCATCAAAGGTAGATGACTGGACTGTTTTATTACCAGCAACACTTCTTATGACACCGAGTGAATCACGTTCGAATGCAAATCGTAATCAAGTTAAATTATTAAAATCAAGTGATTTAAATAAAACATGTTTAAATGAAAAATGGGATCGATTAAAAATTGTTTGTGAACAAAAATTTAATCGTTTAAATTCATTTGGTTTATGTTTTATTAAATTATATTCTCCATCGACATTATCCGATGAAACAAATCAATCGGAATCATTAAATAAATCTTTGACTATGGTAGATAATAATGATGATGATGAAACAAGTAAAGAACAAAGTAAAATTGGTTCATTTTTTGCTAAAAAACAAGCAGAAAAAAAGTTAAAAATATCAGAACCAAGTGCCAGTGATCAAATACGTGCTTTATCTAATGTTGCTGATGAATTATTAAGTAAAAAGCCAATGGATGATAATGAAATTCAAACATTATTAAAAAAGGATGTTAAAGTAAAAAACAAAATTAGTTTTTTGTCAATAAAAATAATACAATTATTTTCTATAGAATACTCCAAATCGTTTATCAAAACGTCGTATATCATCAGATAAATCAGACTCTTCAATTAATGAAAATGAAACAAAACGAAGTAAAAGTAAATACAAAAAATATTCTTTTTCTTCTTCATTCTTCATAATTTAATATAATTTTCTTTTAGCTACAGATCAATCTCAATTGATGAAAAATGTCGTTTTTGTTTTAAGTGGCTTTAAAAATCCATTAAGAACTGAAGTACGTAATAAAGCAACAAAAATGGGTGCTATTTATAATGATGATTGGGATAGAACATGCACACATCTTATTTGTGCATTTTCGAATACACCAAAATTTGCGCAAGTTAAACAAACAGGAAAAGGACTTATTGTTAATAAAGAATGGATACTTGATTGTTACAAGCAAAATCAATTATTATCTGAGAAAAATTATGAATTAAAAGGATCGAATAATAATATAATAAAGAAGGATACACCAAATAGAACATCAGAAATAAAAACAAGAAATTCCAATAATAATGATAAAGCAGAAAATGAAAAATCATTAGTATCCAAAGATATAACGATGAAATCGCCTATGAAAACAAAAGTGTTAACATTTGACGATGATGATGATGATGAACCAATACGTCCAACAAATTCTAGGAGAAAAACACCAACTAAAAAAGCAATAAAAACTTTTGATGATGATGACGATGAAGACGAAGTACCTATTATTTCAAAAGATGTGACTAAAAAACCAACAACTTCTGCTAAGAAGGAGGATGGTAATCAATCATGCTTCGTTAAAATCTAGAGAAGTTAATCTTAATTCTTTTTAGTTTATGATGCTGAAACTGATGAAGATGAACCAAAAACAGTCGATAAATTATCTGAATTACCAGATTTTTTTCATGGAAAACATTTTTACATATATGATAATGATTTCAACGATGATACTATGCATGATATTCGTCGAGTTATTTATGCTTACGATGGTATCTTGAGAAAACAGATTACATCAGATGTAAAATATATTATTACAAATCGAACATGGAGTCATGATTTTGAAAAGGTATAAAAGAAAGTTATATATTATATCATATTCTTTCTTGATATTTTTAGATAGCAAAGACAAATCCAGAGATGAAATTTCTTTCAATTGATTGGTTACAAAAGTGTCATGATGAAAATAAACTTGTTCCAAATCAATCTTTTTTAATATTACCTTAGAATAAACATGAAATAGTTTTTTATTACTGTATATATACTTATACAAGAAACAAATGAATTATATATAGATATTTTTTTTCCATTTATTTTTTTGTTGTTGCTGTTGTTATTGTGGGTTATGAAATTTTCAATGTGATATGAATTTTTTAGATAAATAATAATAGAATTTCTTAATTATGACCGAAACGATGAGTGTGGATTCATCCAATACTATAATAACAGGTGAGTTTATTTGTTTGCTTTATATATTAGTATATGTACAGATATATTTAATTATACATAATTAATTTATCTTTTTAAAAGACACATAGTTTTTTGTTTTTTTCTCTTTTCTTCTCCGTGTTGCAGAAAAACATTTGTCAATATGAAAATAAGTTTCGTTATACAAATCTTCAATCTACAGACAATCATCAACACCAAAAAAGTGTCAGATAGATTTTTAAAAGAAAAAGGAAACAATGTTTATTACTGTCTCGTCTTCTTTTTCTCTCCCTATTTTAGGTATTCAACAAGAATCTACCACAAAAAGTATAAAGAAACAGGAGTGTTATTTGGATACAATTTCTGGTTTTTATTTTTTGCTTTTTGCTTTCTTTCTCTGTCCCTTTTTCAGCTACAACATTAATCAAACATCATGTTCATATGCTTGATCATCTAAAATTATTCTCTAAAAGGTTGTATTTCTAATATTTTGTATATGATTATTCTTCTAGACAATGGCCAACAATCATTAACTTCTAATGGAAAGAAGTCTACTCGACCAGATGTACCACGTTTACCACGTGAACTTACGCCATTTGCTGCATTTTTAAATGCTGTTGAATTGGATCAACGTGGTCCATTATTTCAAGGACCAGGTGCTAAACGAGATACTGGACGTTATAAAGTTCGATCATCAGATGATGATAATGTAAAACGTGCAAAAAAATTTGCTATGGAACAAAGTGTTAAATATGTTCTTGTTAGACAACAACAACAACAACAACGTGCACAATTAGATATAATTAAAAAACAACAAGCACTTTTATTAATGTGTCGAATTTATATTGGAAGTATTAATTTTGAATTAAATGAAGCTATGCTTAAAACAGCATTCTCACCATTTGGACCAGTGAAAGCAGTTTCATTAACATTTGATCCAGTTACAAATCGTCATAAAGGTTTTGCTTTTCTTGAATATGAAACACCTGAAGCAGCACAATTATCTATTGATCAAATGAATGGAGTTATTTTAGGTGGAAGAAATATCAAAGTAAATTAAAAAGAAGAAAGAGTTTATTTAATTTTTTCTTCTTTGTTTTTGAAATAGGTTGGTAGACCATCTAATATGCCTCAAGCACAACCAATTATTGATCAATTAACAGAAGAAGCAAAAAATTATAATCGAATTTATGTTGCTTCTATTCATCCAGATTTAACTGAAGTAGATATTCAAAGTGTATTTGAAGCTTTTGGTAACGAAAGAAAAAGATTTTTTTTTGTTCTTTTAATAAAAATAAATTGTTTATTTTTTAAAGGAAAAATAAAAAGTTCTTCGTTATCAAAAGATACAGCAACAGGAAAACATAAGTATATTATACATTTCTTCGTAAAATTTGAAATGAAATTTAAAATGAATTTATTTTTAGAGGTTATGGTTTCATTGAATATGATACTGCTCAAGCATCACAAGATGCAATTAACTCAATGAATTTATTTGATCTTGGTGGTATGTTATTTACTATAGGAAAAATACGTTTATTTAATTTCTTTTTGTCTTTTAGGACAATTTCTTCGGGTCGGAAGAGCAATAACACCACCTGAAGGTTTATTTGCTTCAGCTCAGCCAGTAGCAAGTCAAATGCCATCAGCTTCAGCATTAGCTGCTGCTACAATCACAGCTCAATTACAAGCTAACGATGTTGAAACTAATTCACAACCAACTGTTGTATGAGAATCTTTATAAATATAAAACTTCAATTGACATTATATTTCTATAGGCTGCTTCACAAATGCTTAATAATCAATTAGCACAAGTTGGTTTTCTTGGTGGTACAATTGCACCAACGACTGTTGCAGCTGCACTTTCTGCTGCCTCTTATGGTGGTGCATCAGCTGTTACATCTATGATTTCTACTATGCTCAATCCAACTAATGTGATGTCAAATGTTATACCTCAACCATCAATAATTGGTGCACCTGGAATTCTTTCAAAGTAGATAATCAGATTTGTTTTTATGTAATATTAAAATTTCTCATTAGTTTTGCTACACCGACACCTGTTGCTAATCTTCCTACTTCTCCACCGGTACAACATGTACCGTTGCCACCTCCTCAAATGATTATTCCACCACCACCTACTCTATTAGAAGAACCACCAATTCCTGTTGGATTACAAGTTGATTTACAGTCACAACAACAACAGCAACCAGAACAACAGCAATATCCATCAATTTCACTTGTTCTGCCGCCAACTCCATCAGCCAGTAAAGCTGAAATTGCTGAGAGTAAAAAGAAAGCTTTGGAATTGAAAAATGCTGAAGATAATTTATCAACTTTATCTCAACAAGAAGAACTTAGTGTTAAAGGTATATTTATATAAAACTTGTGTCATCGGCTGGAAAAGACTGAATACCAGTATACATGAATTACACATTATTTATTTGTAATAATCACAGGCTCTATATAGGGAAGTGAATTGTTCATTTTTGGAAAATGTTCATGGAGTGATCGAGATAGAGCGACTGAAATAAGTCTCAACAAACATAATATACATATAAAAAGGAAAGAAAAACCTAACATATATGATGCATAGAAACGAGAAAATACAAATATATGTGATGTGTGTAAAAAGAAACACACACACATGAGAACGAACGGAGAGTAACGAGTTGCGCATCATTTGTTTTCACTTTTCATATTTATGTTTTTTACTTGCTAAAATGTGTTTTTACCGATAAAGTCAATAATTTTACCTAATAATTAGAGATTTTACACTTAGAATATATTTTTACTTAACGCTCAAAATAGGTGTCTTTATAGAATTTTTCTTAGATAGAATAGGAATATTGACTTTGTTTTTCTTCTTTCAATAAGGTCGTGAACAAAGACATTTATTAATGCAAAAATTAAATCAACGTCGACTTGATTCACGTGTATGTGTATTAAAAAATATGGTTGGTCCAGAAGAAGTTGATGATAGTTTACAACAAGAAATAACAGATGAATGTTCGAAATATGGTGAAGTTAATAAAGTTGTTATTTATACTGAAAAACAAGGAGAAGAAGATAGTGCAGAACAGATTGTAAAAATTTTTGTAGAATTTCGAAATAGTAAAGAAGCAGAAAAAACAGCTGAATCACTTAATGGTCGATGGTTTGGTGGTCGTATGATAAAAGCTGAATTATATGATCAAGCAACGTATCAAGCTGAAGATTTATCTGGTTGATAGAATTTTTTCTTTTTTTTTGAAACTTATATTTGTGTCTTCAGTCATTGTATATTCTGTTTTTTTTTCTGTGTATGTTGAAAAGACAAAACAAAACAAAACAACAATAAAGTAGTAGACATACTGATTATTACCAACACTGTGTTTTCTTTTTATTGCAAATTAATTAGATCTTTATGAAGAGAATCTCTTCAGTATTTTAGAATTATAAATTATATTTTGAACACAATCAATTAGAAGAGATTTCATGGTTATGAACGAAGATTTGTAAGTTACATGATTAATAAAGAAAATGAACAGGTCAAAGTCGATATAGTACCGAAATAAAAGGAAAGAGAATCTATGAACTCTTTATAGACTTGTCAGACGTTTCCATTTGATGTTAAAGAAAAACAATTACATTTATTTTTCTTCGAAGAAAAACAAATGTTTTCCCTTTTTTTTTTATTATTTAAAATGAATAAATAATTTACAATATAATGTTATCGTGTTCTTTTTCAATTGGTTGATATTTCTATGTGATTGATGTGTAGTAGTTATAGTTTATTAGTCTGTATTATATACGTATTAAGTTTGATTAAATATGAATATTTGGAACTTTATGATTTCTTTCATCATCACCATAAACTGGTGTTGTTGAACGTGCTTGTTCATAGCCATTATTATCATGTAATAATTGAAGAGACTTTTTATTTGTTTGTACCTGTTCATCATTTAATGTTTCATCATCATTTTCATTTATATTACTTTGTACATGAATCATATTTATTGGACTATGAACTGGTTGATTACGAACTGCTGATAAACGTGCTTCAATTTTGTCTCGTTGTGCTTGTTCAATACGTTGACGACTTTAAACGAAAGATAGAAAATAATATTATGAATAATATAAAAAATAACTTACGCTAAATTAGCTTCATTAGCTTGACCAAGAATTTCATTTGCTTGCAGCATATTATTTGATTTTAATTTCTTTTCATTCATACGCGCACGTAATATATCATTTTGTCGTTGTCTTTCATTTTCTAATTTTATATCTATACCATCCATTTTTTCAATAATTTCAGCTGTTTGCTATAATAAAAATTATTCAAAAAATATTTTTTCTTTAAATTATTATTTATAGAAAATACTTTTTCGAGAACGTCATCTGTTAACTGATGATTTTTTTTATTTTCTTCTGCACGTTTACGTCTTTCACGTCGACGAATATATTTTACAACAGCTGCTTTATCTGTTGGATGTTGTTGTTCATTTTTATTCGTTGTAAGAAGAGCTTCAAAATATGCTTGATATGTTACATTCATACTTGAATTAGGACGTAGATCAGCAAGACCTTCATTATTACGTTTTTGTTTTAAAAATATTGAAAGTGGAATTGAATTTTCTAAGAAAAAACTTTTTCTTATTAAAAGACAAATATTATGTATATATATATACCCTTTTGTCTTCCCATTGCTGCTTCTTTCACTTTTGAAATTTCTTGAAGTTGTTTTCGATATTCTTCTTGTTCACGTTTAAATTCTTCGAATGAACTTCTTAATATATCACGACTTTCATCTAGTGTACTCATAATACTTTCACTATCTTCTTTTTTTATTGAATCAACTGCACGTAAAATAAGTTCCTAGGAAAAAGAAAAAGATTTGTTTTTATTTCTTTGTATATTTTCCGATATCTTACTTGACTTTGTGGAGTTAAATTAGTTATATCAGGTACTGAACTTTTTCTATTTTGAGGATCTTGTCCACGTTTTCCAATTGGAATTAATTTCTCTCGAAGTTTAGTTCGTAAACCTTCTTTTTTTTCTTGTTGAAAACTTGTTTCATCATATGACATGGATAAAGAATTTGCATTATATCTTGCTTGTGAACTCATTATTAAACAAAATGCTTGTATGAAAAAAAACAGAAAGAAATTTCTATTCTTCTAATTTCACTAATGAAAAAAGCAATTGTGTTAAAGAAAAAAACTTATTTTAAAAAGAAAAAAAAAAGAGAGAAAACCATTGACGTCATTATTAGAAAAACAATAAGAATAAGTTTGAGAAAATAAACGTTCTATTTTTTTTCAAGTGCTACTTTTTTTCTTCTCACATATTATTATTGCAAGTTTTCAATGGAAAATAGTCTCTTAAAAAGTTTTTATATAAAATAAATAAAATTCTGGTTTCATTTTTAATTAATTTTTATAGTGAACTATGAAACGTCGCAAATGAATATTTGTTTGCTGAATACTAATTGAAAGGGATGTACCAGTAAAAAAGTATTATATACATCTAGTTGACTTTGTCGATTCCAGTTGAATGTTTATCAGTTGAAATTAATCGAAAATAAATAAATTTATGTTAGTCATTGTTATATACTACACGACTTTCATCTATGACTGATTTTGTATGCACCGTATATCTCTTCTCAAGGATCGTCATATAATGGTGCACTCTATAATACAAAATACACGTAGGATGTATAGGACTTGTTGAAACAAATTAATTTTATAGTTTCCCACTTGCGTGGAGCTTAAAATAGTATAAAAAAATAGCTTGTTTATTTAGTTTTCTCGATTTTAATAATATTGTGTATTTATCTTTTTTAGATTGATAATAGAATGAATTTACATATAAAGAAACGTATTGTTTGTGCAATGTCTGGAGGTGTTGATAGTTCTGTATCGGCTGCTTTATTAAAGAAAAAAGGTTTTTTTGTCGTCATATACTTTTTTTGAAAAAAAACTATTTAACCTAGTTGTTTTTAAGGATATGAAGTCATTGGTTGTTTTATGCGTAATTGGGAAAAACATGAAGATGATGATAGTACAACAAAATGTACGAGTGATAAAGATCTTGAAGATGCTATTTATGTTAGTAATCAATTAAATATTCGTTTACATATTGTTGATTTTATAAAAGATTATTGGACAAAAGTATTTGAACCATTTCTTGATGATTATCAACATGGTTTAACACCAAATCCAGATATACTTTGTAATAAATATGTTAAATTTGATTCTTTATTTAAATATTGTCAAGAACGTCTTGATACAACATATTTAGCAACAGGACATTATGCACAAGTAAAACAAGATAAACAAGGAATTAAGTATTGTTTCATAAGAAAAAAAAGAAAATATGTTTTTCTTTTTTTCTTCTAGACTATAAATTAATGCGTGGTTATGATATGAAAAAAGATCAATCATTTTTTTTATGTCATTTGGAAAAGTCTGTTTTACCATTTATTGAATTTCCGATAGGTGGAATGATGAAATCGGATGTAAAACGTTTAGCAAATGAATTGAATCTGGAAAGAATTTCTCAGAAAACTGAAAGTAATTTAATGAATTTTTCATAATTAAATACTATTGTCTGCGATTCACTTATGAACGATTGTCTTGACCTTAACAATAAGTGTGTTTTATTTGATTATTAATAGTGATAATATCATAAAAGAATTGACATACATAGTTTTTGATTATTTTATGTAACCTTTCGCTATATTTTTTTCTATATAGGTATGGGTTTATGTTTTATTGGTAAACGAAAATTTTCTAGTTTTATTTCTCAATATATTTCGGATAATATTGGTCATATAAAATCAATTGAAACAAATGAAATTATTGGAGAACATTATGGTTTACATCGTTATACAATCGGACAACGTATTACTCCAATTAATAAACAACATAAATCATCTAAACCATTATTTATTGCTAAAAAAGATCTAATAAATAATATAATTTATGCCGTAAACAATAGATCATTTCTATTTATTAAATTACATTTTATTTCATTTCAGGCACCTGGTACAAATCATCCAGCATTATTTACAAAATCTTTTGATACAGATATTCCACACTGGATTAATGAAATACCATGTTTATTAAAAGAAACTAGTCAATATCAATGTGATTTTCGTTTTCAACATAAACACCGTCCATTACCAGTAATGCTTTCTCTAACAGCTAAGAATACGTTACATGTATCATTACCTATACCGATTCGTGCTATATGTCCTGGACAAGTAAATAATATTCAAAACAAATCAATACATGTTTCCCAATATTGTTTATTTTTTTAAATTTTAGTATGCAGTTTTCTACAACGAAAATGAAGTTTTAGGTGCTGCACGTATCATTGATAGTGGTACATCATTATATGATTTGCAATGGACAGAACCATTAATAAGTTCAGATTTAATTTTGAATATGTGTTGATTTAGTTTTGTATTTTCATACTTCAAAAAGGAATAAATGTTTTTTTCAAGAAGAAAGAAAAGAAGAATATTTCTTTATGAAGTGTATCAGAGAGCGTGGATGTAGGTATCTGATTTAATCCCAACATCCACACCCAGGATGATAGAACAATCCACGGGTTTTCAGAATATGTAATTAGTTTCAAATTAATATGTTTTTATACTAACAACAAATGAGAAATACAGAATGACGCTATTTTTTTCGGGGAGATATATATATAAATGTTTTTTTTTCATTAATTAATAATGACTTATTTTTAAATGAAACTCTTGTTTTTTGTTTTTATTTATTAGAAATCGAATGTTTCTTTTAGAAACAGTCATTACATGAGCATTGTCCATTTATATTGAAATGATGAATTCGATTTGTATCACGCACAATTATTTCACATTGACGAATCAAAGCAATTAATTTTATTGATTGATCTAAAAAGAAA